TTTAATCTTTGTTGATTTAAAGTCTGTTTTGTCAGTAACTAGGATTGCAACTGCTGCTTTTTTATGTTTTCCGTTTGCTTGGTAGATTTTCCTGCATCTTTTTATTTTGAGCCTATGTGTGTCATTACATGTGCGATGGTTCTCTTGAAGACAGCATACCATTGGATCTCAGTTCCTTATCCAGCTTGCTACTCTGTGTCTTTTAATTGGGGCATTTAGCCCATTTACATTTAAGGTTAGTGTTGGTATGTTTGGATTTGATCCTTTCATCATGATGCTAGCTGGTTATTTTGCAGACTTGCTTACATGTTTGCTCTATAGTGTCACTGGTCTGAGTGCTTCAGTGTGTTTTTGGAGTGGCTGGTAACCATCTTTCCTTTCGACATTTAGTGCTTCCTTCAGGAGCTCTTGTAGGGCAGGTCTGGTGGTAACAAATTCCCTCGACATTTGCTTGTCTGAAAATGATCTTATTTCTTCTTCACTTATGAAGCTTACTTTGGCCTGATATGAAATTCTGGGTTGGAGTTTCTTTAAGAATGTTGAATATTGACCCCCAGTCTCTTCTGGCTTGTAGGTTTTCCACTGAGACATCCGCTGTTAGTCTGAAGGGCTTCCCTTTGTAGGTGACCTGGCCTTTCTCTCTAGCTGCCTTTAACATTTTTTCTTTCATTTCAACCTTGGAGAATCTGATGATTATCTGTCTTGGGGATGTTCCTCTCGTGGAGTATCTTCCTGGAGTTCTCTGGATTTCCTGAATTTGAATGTTGGCCTCTCTAGCTAGGTTAGGGAATTTCTCGTAGATGATATCCTGAAATACGTTTTCCAAATTGGTTCCATTTCCCCCATCTCTTTCAGGGGCACCAATCAGTCTTAGATTTGCTCTCTTTACATGAGCCCATATTTCTCGGAGGTTTTGTTCATTGCTTGTCATTCTTTTTTCTCTATTCTTGTCTGCCAGTCTTATTTCAGAAAGCCCGTGTTCAAGCTCTGAAATTCTTTCCTCTGCTTTGTCTATTCTGCTATTAGTACTTGTGATTGCATTATGAAATTCTTGTAGTGTGTTTTTTCAGTTCCATCAGGTTGGTTACATTCTTCTCTATATGGGCTATTTTGTCTGTCAGCTCCTGCAGTGTTTTATCATGACTTTTAGCTTGCTTGCAATGGGTTACAATGTACTCTTTTAACTCAGTGAAGTTCATTCCTATCCATATTGTGAATTCTACTTATGTCATTTCAGCCATCTCAGCCTCAGCCCAATTCCAAACCCTTGCTAGAGAGGTGATGAAGTCATTTGGAGGAAACAGGGCACTCTGGCTTCTTGAGTTTTCAGCGTTCTTGCACTGATTCTTTCTCATCTTTGTGGGCTTATCTACCTTCAATCTTTGAGGTTGCTGACCTTTTGATTTTTTTTTTTTTCTTTTAACAGTCTGGCCATGTTTCTGTAGGGCTGCTGTAGTTTGCTGGGCTTCTTCCCCAGTTCCTAGTTGCCTTGGATTTTCCAGTACCTGGAGCTATCACCAGTGAAGGCTGTGAAACAGCAAAGATGTCAGCCTGCCTCTTCCTCTGGGAGCTCCGACCCAGGGAGGTACAGACCTGTTGCCAGCCCAAACGCACCTGTAGGATGAGGCTGGAGACCCTGGTTGGGAGGTCTCACCCAATCAGGAGGAATGGGATCAGGGAACTGCTTAAAGAAGCAGTCTGGCCATGCTTTCGCAGATCAGCTGTGCTGTGCTGGGGCACTGCTTCCACCCCTGGTCGGTGTGGGCTCTCCAAAGCCTGGAGGCTGGAACAGCTAAGTCGCCCAAACAGCAAAGACAGTGGCCCCTCCCTCCCTCCCTCCCGGAGCTCTGTCGCAGGGAGAATTCAAATCTCTGTCAGCCAGAGAACACCAGTAGGGGTTGCTGGAGGCCTTGGTTGAAAAGTCCCACCCAGTGAGGAGGAACAGATTGGGCACCTGCTTAAAGAAGCAGTCTGGCCATGCTTCTGAAGAGCAGCTGTGCTGTGCTGTTCTGGGGTACCACTTCTGTGAGCTCTGTCCCAGAGAGCAGCCTGCCCCTCCCCCTGGGACCTCTGTCCCAGGTAGGTGCAACACTGCTGCTGGTGGCTGGCTGGAACTCCAAACCAGTGGGTCTTATCCTGTGAGGTGCAGTGGAAGTGGGGCCCGCAGATCGTTGCTGCTTGGCCCCCTGGATTCAGCCCCTTTCCTAGGGGTATGTACAGGGGTCTAATCTCCCGCTTTGCAGGAGTTGCAGTTACTTTTGCTGGGAAACCCAGAGCTGGAGTATGTAAAGCTCCTGGGTCTCTGCACGTGCTGAAGCGGCTGCTCTGCTGAGACTCCAGGTATCTCTGTCTGTCAGACTGAAGGCCCTGGTGGAGTGGGTTCACGAGGGGATCTCCTGACCCAAGGGTTGCAAGGATCCATGGGAGGAGCGTGGTTTCCCAGGATCGTACATTCACTCACTACTTCCCTGGGTGGGGGAGGTTCCTCTGTCTCCATGTTGCTCCTGGGTGGGCTGTCATCCTGCCTTGCTTTTCTTCATTCTCTGTGGATCGAGTTGTTTCCTTGATTAGACCCA